CCTAGCTACTTAAAGTTTGCAATTTATTAAAATAAAATTGATTTGGGCTAAAAATCTACATGCTCAAAAAAAATCTAAAAAAACTGTTTAAAAAGTTGAAAATTTGCATTAAAATTTGCTGAATTTTCGTGAGCTTTGCACAATGTTTAGGAATAATATTTTTTATGCTTTTTGTTGTAGAATGAACCATATTTTTATAAAAAATTGGGGGAAAAATATTAGAGAAAAAATTGTTGAATTGTGAAAAATTTGCTGTGCCAATACTGTTTTGCCGGCAGTGTATGTATGTAGAACAATAAAGTGAAATAATGAAAAGCATTTAACGGTATGTGCGTAAGTAAGTGCATTATAAAGATAACTATTGTCAACTGTTTATATGGTTAATGATTATAGGTCGTTCATAAATATTACGGAGTGTAAATTGATTAGGGGTCTTCCCTTAAACTCGCAAAAGCTCGTAAACCTCTAAAAGCTCTTAAATTTACGAGCCTCGTAAAAGAACTGTCAAAATTTGTATGGAACTCTATTTACGAGCATCTGGTAAAATTACGAGGCAAATTTGATGCGCAAATGACCTCGTAAACTTCAGTGTTGCCGAGGGGCCGAAATTTTTATACTAAAGGATATGACAAAATAATGAAAATAAATTAAAAAAATAATAAGCTAATAAAATGAATAAATTTCATCCACCAACTGTATTGACTTAGATTTTCTGCTAATTTTCGGCATTTTTTTTTGTTTGTATTTTAGCCAAGAAAGATAGATAGAGACCTGATGGCGGGATGTTATGGAAAATACTACGAAACATAAATTGTTTCACAAAATCCTGGTTGATCTGTCAAACTGTCACTTTACGCACCTATTAACACCTTTTCACGAAGGGGGCGTTCCCATAAAAGCTTCGTAAACTTACGAGTTTTACACAGTTTTCATGTTTAATGTACAGTTAAAAGCTCTCTTACTTTTTCGGTTCGTCCCCAACCGGTTGCCTGACAGACGGTACCTGCCGCTATCGGCGTTCTAGCTCTTTCGATTGTTTCTATAGTAGGATGACGCTCAGGCACAGAGGCATTTAGAAACACTACCGCAATATCATTCTCATATGTGGATGCATTGAAAACATCTATGCCGAAAACGATTCGCGCAATATCGAAGTGTAGCGTATTTTCCGTACGCAGAAAACGGTCCAAAGTACCCGCAACAACGACAAAGTCAGCGGCAGGACGATAGGAGCCATTATTGATCTCTTGACTGTGGAATAATGAAAAAACGAATAAAAGTGTTTTCAAAACTAATTAATATCAATTCAAATTGCACACTTCAAAATCTCACTCACTTCACAAAACAATGCGCCGCTGATAGCACCACATTCGGTTCAATTAACGAACCACCACAAATGTGTCCAGCACCAAAGTAAAATTGATCGACACTACGCCTTCTGATTGACACCTGATGTTTGGTGGCATCTAAGCTGGCCAAGGTGCCATTGATAATGCGACCGCCAAGTTCTTTATCGCCATTAGCACTTGAAGCGCCGGCTATATGGAAAAAATAACTGTAACTATGCAAACACTAGCAGTCAATAATTTAGAAGCACTTCACGCACCTGCGCTGTGTATGGCAAATGTGACGCAAAATAAAATCACTATGCTCGTCCAATGCCAAAACGCCATCCTTCAGCAGCTCAATTACCCTGCTTACGAGCTAACTTGTCAATTCTAATTCGATGGAGCGATGTAACTTTTTCGTTCGATTAAAATCATTCGTCCGCACAGCGCGATGTTAAACAAATTAATGATAGCCAATTCGATGCAAATAAATTAGTTTAAAGAAAACCCACAAACATTACGAGCGATTATCTAATCTCAGCGACGTAACCTTTCGAGATATCATATGCATATACAGTTACTCTCGTAATCGATCACTTGTTGTCGGTACTCAATGAAAAAAAGTATATTTTCATATAAAGTGCCTGGTGTCTAAAACGACATAGTAGTACACTAGGTTCAAACATAAAAAATTCATATCAAACTCGAAAGACGTGGAGCCAATTCGCTCATGTTGGGATAGACATGGCACGCCTCCACTGTAGAAACTTGTATGCAAACCGTGGAACCACATCTCACGTTCAATACGTGTCGCCGCCAAAGAAGTAGTCGGATTTCCGCGAGCCCGAAAGAACAACTGTTAAGACGAGGAAATGTTGCGCCGTTGCAGAGAAGACGACCGCAACGGAAGAGGGATTTATTTTCCGTAACACAAAAGAGACACCGAAATGTGTGAGTGCGAACAGCTTGAAATGCAGTCCAGCATGAAAAACGCAGGAAATTTGTGTCAGAAAGTTAGGAAACTTAGGGACGGATTCAAGACTGGGGACCTAGTAACCAATGCACCAGACCATACTTAAGTAATTCGGGGGTGCTTTTTTTTGGACCCCTCCACAAACTACTCTTCCCGTTGAACTGCCATTCAAGGTACCAACATCACGGGTTGGTTGGCCCACAAGATATTTTATGACGATTACTTAGATGCTCATCTCGTCATGTGAGTTGATGCATGTGGCTTAAACACATATCTTCTGTTAGTACTCGCTTTACGTTTACACATAATCCAGTATGTCGTTGTCCTGCACTATGTTTTGTGTCTCAGGGACGTAGCGGGGGCAAAAGAATATTATGTGTTCCGCGCTTTCCCTCATTCCTGTGCACTTAGGACAGTACGGGGAGTCGTTATGCCAAAATTTATTGAGATACTCACGATAAGGCCCTTGGCCCGAAAGAAACTGGGTTAAGTGAAAACTGGAGTCTCCATCAGACCTATTCAGTCATTTTTCAACGTTTGGGTTGGTGGTCTAGGACCACCATTAGGCATAATTTTTAGCAGGTATGCTTGAACATTCGAAGCTTTTCCAAAGCATACTCGAGGTGGGTCTTAAAGACAAATCGACCAACAATTATAAAACCCAGACACGTAATTGCGGGCTTGGATGTAATGTATTCTGACCGAACACTAAAAGTTTGTGTTTCTGTGGCTTTCCGGCTGCTTATTAGAATGGCCTCTGTTTTATGATTCGCGAGGCTTAAATTTCTAGACGATAGCCACTCTTTTACACTTTTTATAGTCTCACTAACTTTACTCTCAGTCTCCTGAATATGTTTCGCTACAACCACAACGGCGATATCATCTGCGAATATAAGTCCGGGAACAGATCCCTGAGGCACCTCCGCCACGACCCTGCATTCCTCAGAGCCACTATTAATTACGTCTATGGACGACCAAGATTTTCTGAAGCCAAACTGGTAAAAAACCTTTATCTTCTGCGATCGCCGCGAGTCTTTTGCAGATAATTTTGTCAACGATTTCCCCTAATGTGTCCAGTAGGCATAAAGGGCGGTAAGACGAAGACTCTCCCGGCGGTTTATTCCCCTTTGCTAACAATACTCTTCGTTGATAAATAAATTGAAATTCAAATACCAGGTGTTGAACTTTCCAGGTATTCCGTCAGGCTCAGGAATTCTCGCATCTTTAATATTTGTGCAGCTAGCCTCATTTCCTCATTTTTTATTAGGGTCGTGAACCGGATGAAAAATTTGGTCGAATTTCATTAAAAGCGGATAACATTTCCATTCGATTCCCAAGTGTGGTAGCCGTAGAAATTTTCATATTTCACCATTCCTAAGCAACATGAAAAACTATGTATATATATATGTATATATTTATAGTATGATCAAAAGTCAGAGTCACTGTATGTGATTAAAAAACTAAGTACTTCAACATGGTTGTCTTGGATTGATTTCCTTGTAATTGAGTAGTTAGATGAAAAAAGACCTTCAGGAATGTGTGGGATTCCCTATCGTTGTTTAGACGTCAACTAAGTATATTATCTAGTATTTATGTATGTATCTTTGTGTGATATATGTTTATAGATCGGTACAAACTAAATGCAAAAATGTAACTGTGAAAGCACTCCTGCTTTCTTAGACTGGAGTATATGAACACGCCTGTCCATAAATTTTCCAAACTATTAAACCTAGGTTAATTATATCCCTATCTTCATTTGCATACGAATTGGCGATCATTTGCACTAATGTACTTAAAGGTTGCGCTCCGCTGTCGAGAAGCGTCAGTTATTGAGAAAATTTGTTTATATACCTTTCTACCGCTTCTACCATTGCGACCGCCGGCATTCTTCGAAGACCGTAACGACAGATGAATCAACAAGTGATGTTGCACCCTTGTTTTACTTTCCTCCGTCCTAATATATAGCGCACATGGGTCTTGATGTGAACCAAGCTAAAACTGAGCCAGTCCTTTTAACTAGACGGTACAAACTCGTAGACTTACTGCCAGGTATGCCTGGTATGTATATATCTTAGTGAAATTCTCGACAGTAGACTACTCTGGAATGACAACACAATGGAAGGTATTATGAAAACCAAAACAGCGCTCTTCACCTGTAAAAAGGCGATTGGTGTAACAAGGGGTTACTCATCTCGGATAATTAACGGAATCTACACGGCCATTGTGCGGCCGATCTTGCGCGACGTAGCCCTAATCTGGCGGCCTACCCTTAGTAAGTGGTCAGCATTTCAACAACTCATAAGGAGATATAGGAGTGGCGAGCCTTAAGACTCAGAGAGCCAGGTTCCTCGAATAATGGTATATTTATCCACTCAAAAATCTGCATAACATCAAATAGTCTTAATACGCGTAAGCGCATATTTGACAGCCTGGATCGGGGCTGTACGTTAAGGACTCTGAAATTGCGCACATCCAATTTTCGATGACCTGGCTGCCTATCTGTCCAAGAGGAAGTTACAGATGATCGGTGGCGCTCTCTCCCGCCCTATAGCTGTTGATATCGTACCAACCAAACAAGATCAGTAATGGTACAATGACCAGTTTTGGGCGCCACATCAGTGATCGCTGGGCCCTCATTGCCGTTTGGCTGTCAGATATATAAATCAGGTTTTATATAAATCAGGTTTTTTAATAAAATTTTATCTATTCATAAATAAATGCCCAAATACAGTTAGAAACACGATAAGACCCGAAATTTGGCTGGAGCTTGGTGCACCATTAAGACGTGACTCTATCCAATTCGACCAGTAGGAAACATTTGTGTAAACGCCTGGTAGTAGCGGTTCAGCACAACCAATACCCCACGACACAATGCCAGCCAATTCTCGATTACAAACAAGTGGACCACCAGAATCACCACCGCAGGCATCCCGCTCGCCCTCCGAATAGCCAGCGCATAACATACCTTCACGAATCAAACCCGCGCCGAAACTCATATTGTTCGCACAAACATTGAAGTCTATGATGGGCACATCCACCGTCATCAAATAGTCGGACAAGTAACCCTGCGAATTGGTAAAGAAATTGACAATAAAGTGAGAAAAATGAGTTATTGGTAACTTACATCTTCAGTTTGACCCCAACCAGTCACCTGACAAACAGTGCCCGTAGCCACTGGTCGAGTAGTTATGTCAATTGTCTGAGCTCTAGTGTAGTTCGCTGGTACTGAATCATTCAGGAACACCAACGCAATGTCGGACTCATAGGTGGTTAAATTAAAAACGCTGATATTTAAAATGATTTCCTTCACTTCAAAAACAAGTGTATAGTTGTTGCGCTCGTAGCGATCCAAATTGCCCATAACCACAATGAAATCCGTTTCTGGACGGAACGTGCCATTGTTGATATCATAACTGTGCAATGGAAAGGTAGAACACACATTTTTTTTTATAACTTAACTTATATGGAAAATGATTTAGATGGTGTATTACACTTACTTGACAAAACAATGCGCTGCCGTAAGCACTACGTCGGATCTAATCAACGAACCACCACAAAGATGACCTGTGCCAAAAAAGTAACCATCATTGCGCTTTGATCGTATTGAGACCTGATGTTGCGTGGCATTGAATTGTGCCAAGGTGCCATTGATAATGCGGCCATTGTGTTCATAAGAGACTTGGTGATCGCTTGGTTCTGCCGCTGATTGCAAAATTATTTATTACATAATAGCACTAGTTTTCTTTTTTGATGATATCACCGTGCGACAGTAAATTTTACACACAAAAAAAATTAAAATATTCGCGAATTTATGGTTAAATTATAGTAAGACTGCGTACTTATAGCGTTTTCTTTTCTCGAAATAATTTTGCATTTATTTTACAAAAATTATAATATTTCAAAAAAATATTTAAAAAATTCAGTGCAAATGTATGGAAAATATCCCTTACAATTTTTGTCCTTAAATATCCTTGAAATTTTTTTTTTTTTTTTTTTTGAAATTTTATTGTTTGAGGACTAATATACGCACGGCCTCATCATCGAATTTCATTCTGCAAACCTTATTAACTTACAAAGATAAAATTTTTTGAAAGCGCATTTTCAATATGTCCTTTTAAACCAAAAAACTTTATTGTTCTTAAATTCTACAGAATTTTCTCTCTCATTTGGTACTCACATTGTTGTTCTACATTGCACTGATTTTTTTAAATAATTTTTTAATTAATCATATCTTTAAAATTTCTAAGCCCTTTGAAAAAAAATCCTGACGTCAGAGTGAAAAACTAAAAACGCAGTTTTACTATATTTGGCCTATAGTTTTATGAGTATATCGATTCTTTCGCGTGTTTTGATTTTTTTTTTTTTGTTTTTGTAGCACGGTGTATTAGAAGCACATATTTTCAAAAAAAAAAACAAAAACTCACATGTCAACTGTACAAGCACTAAGGTACACAAAGTAAGCAAAATTATAAAATTCCTGAACATATTCGAAACTGAAAATTCCCAAAATTTTGCGATAGTATGTACTTAAATCTATTCTTCCCTCTTTGGCAGTACCTTCTTGTTCAGGTGTGTACCACAAGAAGTTATAAAATGAAATGCCTTCAAGGCTCGGGAAAAACGTGTTATTTGGTTTCGGGGAAAAGCCCCAGTGTTTTAAGTGTATGTATATTTTAATCTAATCAAAAATATTAATTTCTGTCTATAGCACGACAGATTTATTTGACATATCAATATTGGCTGTTTATGCCTTTTTGTTTTCAATGTTAATACACAAATCAATTTCAATACTAGTATATGCTTTTGTTAATATGTTTGCCTACAATGCCGGATCGCCAGAGAGGAGGGGTTTTTTGAGGGCTGGAACCCCTATTTCTATGGCGAGGAGATACAATTTTAGCAATATTTGAAATTTTGCCTAATTTAATTAAATTCGGTAAAACGGTTACTGAGATATATGTACATATTTAATAACAATTAATCAAAGCATTAATTGAGTAAGAAGAAGGCGTCACTTACGGTGGAAAGACAAGATGCCGAAGGACTTGATGTTGCCGCGATGATGGTCCTACTTTGCACACTTCCAATACCAGCTTACCGGGTACCATCCTACTTTGGAAGAGTAACTGAACGTACGAACGCACATTAGGGCGGTCCAAAATTATATTTTCCAGACACCCCCAGAACTGAAGATTATCGAAAATAAGGAGACTCGTATTTTTTACCTTTACGACCTGAAAGATCTTTTGTATCTCTTAAAGAAATAGTTGCGAATTCTTTGTAATAAAGGGTCCGATCATTGAAGCTTTGAAATGGATACATCTTTATGTGGCCAAAGCCGGACAGTGACAGTGAATATACTGTATGGTCACACCTATTCGGTACAAGTGGGTTCGCAATCGGTTGTGACCAGTCACGTATCCAGCCTCATGTAATTTCTATTTTCTAAAAAAATATCCTTTCTGTTGAAATGGTAGCCGAAGAGTCTGGCCTATCTATGGCTTCCCAACGCCACCCCAGTACTAACTGCGTTTAGAGTTTACCCACTCTTCGCGAACCAACGATCCTTCTCGCGCCAACTCGTCGGCGACCTCTTTGCCTTCGATTCCGCAATGGCGTGGTAGCCAGGACAGTGTTACCGTGTTTTTGGCTGCCAAAATTTGTAACGTGTCAAAGCAGTGTCTTACCAGTTTGGATTACAAATGGATGGATCATTTGCCTATGGAAATTAAAAGTTCGGCGCAAAAATACCTGCACCTGCTTGGTCCGCAGTATACGTATCTAGGATCCAGGGTGCCCATTTTCCAAATTTTCGCGATCGGGGATTATAGCTTGGAATTTTCTGCCAAAGCAGATCTCTTTAATCATGGAATCAAAGACTTTTCGGTAGCGTTTTGTCTTTTCCATTTTCTATAATTCTGGGTGTTGCAGCAGGAAAATTGCAATATGTTGATTTTTTTGTGTATTTTTGGACCACCATAAAGTACATACATAGGTTGCATAACTTCGCCTAACCACACATCACGAAACCCCTCCTTTTAAGTGTTTTCTGCCTCCTTCCATGTACACATATTGGAGTACTGAAGTATGTACATATGTGTGTACTTACTATTTACTTAGGAGCTAACAATAGTTTATCACTTTCAAATTATCTGCCAAATCAACAATTAATCAATGAAGTGTACGCATACTAACGAAACATTAAAAAAATATATATATATGTAATTAACTTTCCGCTATAAATAATAATTAAACGACTGTTTGATAAAAATACATACGTCAGTAACAAAAATGTCTACAAGCAGCATGAAAAATTACGTATCTGAAAATATTTGACTCTGATTCTCTTTATTTAGTCACTATGCGGCAAAACTCGAATACAAATACGGTATTTCTCACTTATAAGCACCCCGGTTATAGAAATTTCTGCTTACAAACATTAGAAAAATTGTAAAAAAATTCCCTATTTTATTAACACAAACAAAGCTGTTTTAAAACATGAAACCATCTAATAGTACGTGTCCTCTTTCATATGGATGTGGCAATATAGAGGGCACAGGCAATCTCGTGGCAGCAACGCCTACTTCCAGCGGGCAAGGCATTAGAGTCTATGAAGTAGTCCAGATCCTAAGGTAGTTTGTTCTATTAAATCCTTCCAAACATATAAATCTTCGTATCCGGACAGAATCATAAAGGACAATCGCCATAATAAATCCCCGGCTAACGACCATTTATGTATATGGTGGTCTCCTCCTTAGGCGTCAACTGTGTGGGTTTAGACCTCGCAAATCCACTATAGACCAGGTATTCACAAAACGCCAAATCTTGGGAAAAGATCCGCGAGAAAAGGTTCGATACTCACCATCTATTTGTCGACTTGGAAGCCGCTTTCGGCAGCGCTAAAAAGAGTTGCCTGTACGCCGCGATGTCTGAATTTGGTAACCTCGCGATACTGTAAAGGTTGTGTAAAATGACGTTGAGCAATACCACCAGCTCCGTCAGAATTGGGAAGGACCTCTCCGAGGCATTTGATACCAAACGAGGTTTCAGACCGGGTGACTCGCTCTCGTGTGATTTCTTTAATTTGATATTGGAGTAGATAATGAGAGTTGCAGAACTGAACCGCTCAGGAACAATTAACTACAAGAGCGCGCATATGCTGGCTTATGCCGATGACATCGACATCATCGATAACAAAAACCGCAAAGTCTGTTCTGCCTTTTCCAAGTTGGATAAGGCAGCAAAGCGATTAGGTTTGGTGGTCAACGAGGACAAGACGAAGTATCTCCTGTCATCAAACGAACAGTCAGCACATTCGCACCTTGGAACCCACGTCACTGTTGATAGTTATAACTTCGAGAAAGTGGATGATTTCGTTTACTTGGCAACCAGCATTAACACCAATAATAATGTCAGTATGGAAGACCAACGCAGAATCACTCTTGCCCGCAAGTGCTACTTTGGACTGGCTAGCCAATTCAGGAGTAAAGGCCTCTCTCGACGTACGAAAAGCACACTCTATAAGTCACTCATCATGCGGCTCTAGGAGTATTCGACGGCGAGTACCACAGACGATGTAGACATAGTGTAGCGAATTAAAATACAGCGGCTCCACTGGCTTGACGGGGTTGTTCTTATGGACTCCGACGCTCCAGCTCTGAAAGTATTCAACCCGCTGGTGGTAGCAGAGCAAGAAGCGATGGAAAGGCCAAGTAGAGAAGGACTCAGCTGAACTTGGCATTTGCAATTGGCACATAAGCGCTTAGGCGGTTACAGCGCCAAATAAGTAGAAGAAGAAACGATAAGAAATCCCGATCTTCACAGATTACACCGAAATGGACATTGGAACAAGATTTCGCGTCTTCTATCTGAGCCTTCGCTGTGAACTGCCAAACTACCCTAATCCGTCAATCCGTAGTATTAGAGATAGCGGTTCAACCGCCCCTGCGTTTCCTTTCTTCGTAAGTTAAGGACATGACTAGAGCAGATAGCAACTGCACATATCCGCACCGCACTCACTCTGGGCAACTCTCGATGAGCGATAAAGAAGGATCAACAAACCGATTTATGGGCTTATCACCGGAATTTAAAAATATATTGGAACATGGGCCACTTGGCCGCCGGGTCGGAGCACCGCTTAACGATTTCTGTCGGATCTATAAAAAGAAGAGAGGAAGAGACATAATCCATTCATCATTTCTGGATTACTTCTCCTTCGAGAGCTTAGACGGCTTAGGAAAAGCCCATAGGTTCTACTAGGATTCGCAAGAAAATCAGAATAGTTTATTAACATGTAGTGACTGATATGGGCAAATTCTCACCTGGGCACTACAATGGGCCTGTGTGATCTTCGAATGAAATCTCTAGGTAGAGCTGCCTAACCACCAGTGGGTACCGTATTCAACGTTTTGCGCTGGAAAGTTTGCGGCTATTTCAACGGCATAGCCTTGACCGCAGCTAACCGTACTTTTATGTTCAAACCTGGTCAAAGTCGAGGTTAGAAGGATCTCTTATCAATATTTCGCTGGACTTGGTATGTACTTATCGCACGTTTAATAGTATAGAGATGTAATTAAAAATTTATGTTTTTGAAGATTTCAACACAGAATTAATAAACTTTATAAGGAGAATATATTCAGCCTTCCGAAAAATGGCGAAGATATGTGTCTTTCCATTTGTCTTTTGGTGTACCAACCGTTTGAATTGATACAACTTTGATTGCGTTTTCCCATAAAATTAAAATTTGGAAATATTTCGCTTTATTATTAAACGCGCTATATGTAGGTCCATTTATTCGATCTACATGCAACTATTATGCAATCAAAAGATAACTAAGATCCGACAATGCTAAAACACATTTAAGTATATGGGCCATTTCGCTCAGAGAAAAAATGATGATGCTTTATAATACCGTCATATTTTGTAGCTGTAACAAACAGCAAAAAAATTAAAAAACAATTGGTCCAAGTTTCTCAAATTTTGTTTTTAAATTTTCACTTCCGGTGTGGTATAACAAAAAAAAATAATTTCGAGAAATTTTCTCACCAAATCGATAAGTTTAAAAATTTTTAGATTTTTTTCAATACGAACAAATACTTTAAAAAAACCATAATTTTAATTTTTAGTATTCTTTGGAAACCCATAACTCGAAAAGTAACCGTCATATAAGGAAAGAAATATGCACACAGTTTCATATTTCACACAGCTACAATTTTTCCCTGTCCGCTTGACGCGAAATTCCTCAAATTCTTAATTTCAGACAACTAAAATGTACCTACCCGTTAAAGAAAAAAATGGTAGAATTAAAAGGCATTCATACATATGTATAGTATATATTTTATGATTCGCGAAAATCTGCAAGCAATTAAAATATAATAGCCAAACTTCAAGACAATTTGATAGAGAATGTCGGTTAAACATTAAAGCAAGGAGTGTATTGATAGCAAAAATTCTGTATACATATACATACATACATATGAACATGCATACATTCTAGATAATTTATTTACTACTAATTGTCATCATTATTTGATTTCAGCTTTATTGCCGTGTCAATTTGTTTACAAATTCAAATGACAACTTATATAAGTGTCAACAACAAAGCTTTATCACTAATCATTTACATACACATTAAATATGCAACACATTTGTATACATAAATAGTACATATGTACATATGTACGTGTGTATGTACGTAAAGGGTATTCCTCATTGATGTTTCTATCTAAATAATTGTGGTTTGACATTAGGGGTATTCTATGAGTCTTGCAAGGCACGGTGCGCCGATTGCACCGATTGCGCGGTAAAACCCGGTTTTCTTATGGAACAGCTTTGCCAACCGTGCAATCCGAGCACCGTGCAAGGGTTTCGCAAGACTGTGAGAATACCCCTATTATTCGCGCTCGAGGTCTGGACTGGTCATTACACATCACTCGCTTGAGAATAACTACATAAATAGTTTTACGCCTGAACGATGTTGGGTCTTATGAACATTCCCTGTAGGGAAACCCCGAACTGGTAAACCAAGTTTGTAATTCCGTACTAGATCTTTATCGCCAAAAACGAACCCGTCCGATAGTAACTAGATCGCCACCAGTTCAAAAGCAGCGATATGTGGTACTTTTAAAAAACAATTTTAGAAATATATATCTAAAATGACGAATTTAAAACTGGCTCAAAACTATAGAAAAAGGATTGCAGAACGAACTAGATCTCATCTGGCGAATTTTGAACTAGTTCTAGACTACTGAAAAAGGGATGTAGCGGGGCGCTTGTTTACTTTAAATAGATTTTTGCTTGGCGGTTTTTTCGTTCAAATACACTTTCAGTCTGCACGTCGCAGATGCTTTTTCATAGTTTGGTTATGCAAAACTAATATTTGTGTTAACATCTTAACATTTTGGGACCTTCTGGAATATAACCAATAACAGTCAGCACCTCTGCAAATTCAGCTACAGCCAAAGGTATGTAAACTTATTTTCAAATGCACAATTTAATTTACATTCATTCAAACAAATTTGATTTCAGATTGAAAATACATTTCTCTGCAAATAATTAGAAATTGCTACCATGGTAACCCAAAAAGAAAACATCTTGTTACTTTTCCGTTTACAACTGGTTCGGAACTATAGAAAATGGGGTGCAAACCGAACTAGATCCTATATGTCGAATTTAGGACTGGTTCTGAACTATAGAAAAGGTAATGCAGCGGGGGACAATTTCCTATTCAAAAAAAAAGAGATTTATCGCGAACTAGTAGTGGTTCTAAATGCACTAGGAGCGCACCAGTTCAAAACTAGAGATTTTCCTCACAGGGTTAGACCGAACCACCTTACAAACAAACCAAAAAAGTTCGCAATATACCCTGAATCTAAGGTGTTTTTGCAAGGCAATTTCGAATAAAAATATTTTAGTGCCGGAATCAATTATAGTCGCGCAACTGTAGTTAAAATTGCTTACTCCAGGAGATAGTTCAATAAACCGGTCATAAAAAAACGATCCAAATTTAAAAATGCAATTTCTAACTTACTATTTATTTACTTTTTAATTGAAGTAGCTTCAATACACAAAACTCATTTTCAAGCCCAAACGAATAGGAGCCAAAGAGCAAATGTCAAGTTTACAATGCACCGAGCTCCAGCAGCATTACTCCCAACAACACCGCCGTAGCTAATCGGCAAAGAACCAGCATTGCCATCATCACCCAAACCAGCATCACCGTAGACACCATCATCACCGTGACCTTCGACATCATCCACTAACTTCGTTTCATTGTGTATCCACTCTGCGTAGCTGGCCACATCAGCATACACGCCAGGATAGCCGGGTTGCGCACAGCCCACACCAAACGACACTACACCCACCAGCTTGCCATCGCATGCCAATGGGCCGCCAGAATCGCCAACACAAGCATCGCGTCCACCAGCCATGTAACCTGCACAAATCATGCCGTCTTGTATGAATTCACCGTAATTAATAGCGCACTGACTTCTATTCACAATGGCCACATCAACCACCATCAATTGCGGTGCAAAACCACCCTAGAAAGAGTTGAGGTAATTAATAATTATTTGATACACAATTTCATTCAATTCTTTTCCCACATCTTCGGTTCTACCCCAACCGGACACTTGACAGATGCTGCCAGCAGTTATATTTCGCTCGTCGTTTAGTGGTATTGAGTAGGCGCGTTTGAAATCTGTCGGTACGCTAGCGTTCAAATGCAACAGTGCCACGTCAGCTTCGTATGTGGACGCATTGAAGTTGCGATGCACAGAAATCTTAGTCACACCAAAAATCAAAGTATTTGCATCACGCTGATAACGATTCAAATTTCCCATTACCACAGAGTAAGCGCTGGCATTGCGAAAACGTTTTGCGCCGGCACTAAAATTAGATAAAGGATGTTTTTGAGGAAAATCCAATAATTCGCCTTCTTCTTCTTCTTTTAAACTCACCTCCATATGCAATGACCGGCCGTGAGTACGGTTCTGGGTGCGATAAGTGAACCGCCGCATATGTGACCAGCGCCAAAGAACCAATCACTTGCGGCCAAACGTACCGACACCTGATGTCGCGTCCCCTCCCATTTCGCCTCAGTGCCATTGATTATTTTCGGCGTATTCTTGTGTTGATTATCAAGTGGATTACTCAAGTGGCCAAGCACTTAGATGGCATGAAAAAATTATAGTTTCTTTTTTTGAATCTTAGAAAAATTTCGCTTTCTGACCGTAAACATGCTTACTTGTATTTTGCGCCACATGAAATGACACACAGAAATAGAATAAAAACCAGAAAAGTCCTTGAAAATCCATGATTTAGTCTAAACTCCAACTAATTTCCAACGAATTTTATTAGGCCAATAAAACTGTATATAGGTAGGAGTATTAGTCAATAAGCAACGCGTCAATTCAACAGCAATTCAAGTGCTACTATTGATATCGCTACTGAGATAGGAATATATAAATTGCAATAAGCATACGGAAGTTCGCACTAGCATAGTCGTTAATTTCTCGAAGGGGGGCCCCTAATTAATCATGCCATGGTAGCTATAATATAAGAGTAGTTTTTCACAGCCCATAGTGGCGGCACCTTTCTTTCGCGGTTCGCTTATTATATGTACATATAAACATACATCCCAAAATCCGGTTATTCGCTGGGTTTACGACATGCAACATAAAACCAAATTCCAATGAAACCAAAAAAACTGTTTCAGATGAGACCACGCGAGCATACACTTGGAATTTCAGGATCCTTAATTGAGAAGCTGTCTCGGGATGGTTGAGACGTCATCTGATCTCTGCGCACCGCCGCTGACTATCATTTGCTGGTCAAAAGTCGAGAAGTATCCAACTTAATTT